CAAAATGTAAGGAAACGTCTCAAATTCATATTGGAAGTTTTTCTCTCTTATGTTTTGTAAATGGTGAATGGACTTTATATATCTATATCTACATCTATATCTATATATATAACTTTTTCAAGTCATAATGATATATAATTTTCCTCAACCTTTTATTTCAATCCTTTGTCTGTGGTATGATATGAAGGTGATTTTTGTATCGCTAATGAATGCTCTGATCAAGGTAATATTAAAAATGCTGGGAAATACACATGTTTAAACAGTGATGCACAAGCATATTTTGAAGAAGCAACGATCAGAGTCCAGTTTATAGAGATTCATACTTGCAGGACTTGTACAGAAAGGTTAACCTTTGCACACAAACAATCGAAGACATACCCATTCTCTGGGAGCAGGTGATGAGATCCTACTCACTGAGTAAGCACCCAAGTGGCACCTTTCATTAAAAACGTGTCTGGCCCTGCCAGCAAAGCGTTGTCAGATGCTTCATAAACAGGAAAAGTTAACGTCCCCTAAAGACACACCGGAGCGGCTTCAAAAGCTCACTGCTAAGCCCTTTTGCTCAAATCCGAAGACTGGATGCACGCACGCACTGGATTCTGATTTACACGACTTTTATCCCTCGTCAAGTCCAGCAGCGGCCGTGTTACAAGGTGAACTGGTGAAACAAAATGGTCGGTCACAGAGGATACACCATGCAGCCTCTGTTCACTTCAAAAGGCCCACTGAACCTGAACAACCATGGACAGTTTCTCAAAAATCCCTCGAGCAAAAATGCTTTCCGCACTGTACGTACAATGAGGTCAGCTGCTGGAATAAATATGAACCCATATTTAAAGCACACACACACATACACACACACACACACACACACACGCACACAAAAAGAAAGAAACAGCGGCAGCCCCTCACACACCCGCTGGAGGGACCAGCTATTGTATTTTTAATGGAAATAGGAGAAAATGTCTTTACTAGTCAGACTAAAAGCAGTGTGTGCTCTGTTATAATCACCTCATCAGCAGGAATTTTACAAACATTGTGATAGAAAATAACTGGAGCCCGAGGCGTTCCACTGTTTTCAGGTCTATGTATCTCCCCTTTTTGGCTTTGCTCCGCAGGGAGTGGAAGTGTGACAGTGTTCTGTTTGCCAGCCCCCTACCACCACCACCACCAGCAGCAGCAGCACCTCACCGCCCATACAGGCTTCCGATGTTTCTCCTGGGAGGTTCAGCGGGCTGTTATAACTTTTACCAGACTTTATTTTAGTTTAATTGTCCTGTCCCAGTGCACAGAAAAATGTTCCCCCTCTTCCCTCAGATGCACTTAAAGTTGGTTTTATGGTTTCTTTCATTATGTAGGCTGCAGTGGCTCCCGCTGCAGTGGAGGATTAAAGGCAAAATAAATTTAAAAAAAAAAAGCAACACTGTAGGTTCAAACTACTTCTGAAACAGCATTCTCACACGGCAGCAAACAGCTTGACATTTAATCTGTTTCATTATATTAATGCAGCGCTATGTGGAAGGCCGGAGGGCTGTAAGTATGTTTAGGTGCAACATAAATATGTTGTCTAGTCAAAGTGGTATCAGCTTTCATCGCAAAAACACGACGAAGGTGGCTCAGCTTGCAGGTCCTCACGGGAATTCCTGCAGTGGAATCGTGAAGATTTTAGCATAAACTTTGATGCCTATAATAAATAAAATATCTTGTCATTTAGCCATACACTCCCTGTCTCCCATATATCCCGACTACGTGAATGGGGCATATAAAATGCCAATTGCCACTCTCAGCTTTTCATGCTCAGCACCTAGTTAAAGGGTTTGGCCATCTGTTTCCACCAAATGACCTTTCTCTTAACAGCCTAAATTAGAGGAGAATGAGAAAGACCGGCTGGATGCTCACTCATGTCCAATTCTAATATTGAAGAAACAAATGTTATTTACAGTGACAAATAGCACCGGGGAGCTATGGCTGTGTCAGCTGCTTTGCACCTGGCCGTGTTGAACACCTGCCCAGAGACAGTTTGGTTCAGTGCAGATGGATAAGGTGAGCTTTCTATCCTCAGCGACCTTTGCGACGCAGACAGCAGGGGATACCATGTTGGTGATCCACAGTAATTCCTCTCCTACGATATTAACGTCCAAGGATATTATCGAATGCTGGAGAGTCGAAGGCAAAGAAGATAGATTTAGCACTGATCACGGACAGAAGATTAATCAACAATGTTTGCTTACAAAGCCAGAGTTTACCTTATTAAAATGTTGGTAAATATCGCGTATTTGTATTATGTTTATTTTCTCATGGGATAATATGGTGAAACAAATGGCCTTAAACCAGTTTGTGCTGTTTTTTTCTGTGCACTGTTCCCACATAAACGGTATTCACTCTGCGCACAGCTAATCAGACCGTTTTGTGTGAAACGTTAGATTATTATCCAGCTATCAATGCAACTTTTGTGGTTCAAAAAAGTATTAAGGATAACGCTCTCAGCGGGGGGGGGGGGGCCTAGTTCCCTGTCATTCACTCCGCTAATTAAAGCGTTTGTCAGGGTGGCATGAATACAAAAATACAGATTGGCAGCTATTTATTATAAACTATTCATTTCATAAGCTTGTTACAGTACACAGGAGATTACATCGCAGGGATGATTTTGTATTAACTAGGAATTTGTTTTCCACTAAATCTCAACACAACACACCCCACTTGCAGAATGCAGTAATTACATATCCTGGGAATAAATTGCCTTACAAAATGCTAAATGTTTAGTTTTAAAAAACAGATTTGTTCTCTCTGATTGATTTGTTGGTATTTTTTAAGAGATAAATCTATTGTCACTCAAAAATACTTTAATTATTGTGGGGTTTTTTTGTAAATATAATGCACAAAGACCTTTATGGCCACTGAACCTTTTTAGATTTTGTCACATTCTTAGAGATTATCTAAGAAAAAGCAGAGCATAATGGCGAGAAAGAGGGAGAGGAATACATGATTTTCATGGGGGGTGGGGGCTACATAGCAAGCTGGAAGCCATCCGGATTTGTTTTCTGCCATTTTTGCACATTTGGACACTGAAACTTGTGCCCATTATTCTTTGCAAATGAAGTCGAGCTTAATCAAATTTGACGGGTTGTTTACATCTTTCAGCATATTTCAAGTCACTCCTGTGACCACTTTTCATTGTAAATTAAATGCGTTGCATTTGTTTACATTTCTGATGATCACGGGAGTGAGATTTCATTCAGTAGTGGCTCAATCAGAAAGGGCAGTTTTGCCAAAAAAAAAAAAGAAAAAAAAAGAAATAATGCAATAGTTTAGCTATATCAGAGTAAGAGTGGCTGAATACAAATGTATTCTTCAGATTTTTTTTTCAGTCTAATGATGAAAAACGTGTGTGATTTCTCTCCCACTGCATACTTATAGGTTACTTGTGTCGATCTATGGCAAAATGTGAGAGACTTCAAGGCGTCGGTCAACAATTCGCCAAGTATCAGAGTAAATGAAGTGTTATAAATAATCAGCATTCCTAACCACAGACTTTTATCCTGCGATTTTTGCACTCACTTTTGGTTCCAACCCTGATGTTTTTCCTCTTTTTCTTCTGCAGAGGAGGGAGGAATCTGGGGAAACGCCAGAAGCCATTGTTCATTTGATAACCAGGCGAGCTCAAAGCTATGATCCACACAGAAACAGAGCAGAACATCTCCTCTTTGTCTTTGTGTTGTTCCCTTTTCAGCTGGAACAAGCTGCAGGAGAAAACTTTTGACATGCTGCCACAGCGATCCATGAAAAATTGAGGCTTGTTGAATAATACTGGCACCTTCTAGTAAGTTTTGTGAAACTCTAGCTTTAATGGAGGAAAACATCAACAAAACGGCAAAAATCCCAGTGTTACTGTATGTTGCCAACAGACTGTATTGGTCTCAGAGGGTGTTACAATGTTGTTGTCAGTGTGGTCAGTGACTTCGCCGGTGGGGGGGTTAGAGGTTTTAGGGTCAAACACAAGCCTTTAGGAATGTGTGTAATGAACCTTTAGATGCAGCTGGTGCTTCCAGGGGCAGCCCTCGAGTTACAACCACAAACAAAAGGTCATTTTACACTAAAAGCTGGTCTAGATTTAATGAGAATGTGGATTCTTCCTCTCTCTCTCTTTTTTTGGTTTAATGATAAGTAGGTTACACTGTGGATTAACCTTACCTTGCAGGATAACCCCACAGACCAGGAGCGGATGACAAATGACTTTGAAAGAGTGCTTTTGCCCACCAACCTCCTTTGTCAATGTACCCCTGCACAGCAGCATTGAGAAATGCAGGCGAAAGCACGGCAAAGCAGATCTCATCAAGTAATGTATAGCGCCAATACAATGAACAACGAAGGGTAGCCCTGGGGTAATCAATAATTTGAGCCACCAATCTGTTCCAGGTGCTTTATGATGTGACTGAGGTAATTATCACCAGATCAATAAAAGAGTTTGTTGTACAGATGAATGGGAGTGGGAGGGGTAATTGGTTTCTCTCACTGCGCCACTTTCATGTATGTATTTTACTAAGCAGAAGACAGAAATGACTCTGACGTAGGTGTATTTTTTTCTTCACCTTGGCTTAGCTCCAGCTAATATTACCTCCATGGATAATGCTATGAACGGACTACTCATGTCAGTGAAACTTTGTGGTGAGTCCTGCAAAAGTATTCATACTACTTTAAGTTTTTGACAATTTTCCAAATGCAAACATCTGTGTATTTTATGTGTATTTTATAAAGTAAGATTTAGCCAGGTGGTACATTTTTGGTTGAGTAATTGTACTGCTTAAGAGTGTTGGCTTCCTTTTATCTTACAACGGCAATGCTAATGAATTATTTTGATTCGGTTATGTAATTTTATTTCCTATCTGTATGTTTCGCACATTTAAATATGTCCCGGTAGTTGGTCTCGGGTGCTACACATTTTGACCACTAGAGGGCAGTATTTCAAAGTGGTCACTGTTTCCCAAGACGAGGCAGGAAATGCTCCTTATTTTTCCCTGTGTTGCTACGCTACGTGCTGAACTTGGATGTGAACTGTAGTTTATCAACGGGAGATAGTTTTGGCAGAAAATCGGTAAATATATACATCACTTGTTGAAATATGTAGGTAAGTTCTCATTTATGTGACAAGCAGTCAGTATTTTAATAAGACGGTGTATTTCTGAAACGGATGGTTGTGCAGGGCGGCCATTTCCTTCACGTGACAATAAGATGTCCGGTCATCGGTGCTCCGGCATTAAGAGTGAACTGAGACGTTACTGTCGCATGTAAGTGTTGATAAAATAAGTCATATCACAACTCCATGCGCTCTGAATCAGTGTGGTGTATTTTGTTTGTGCAGCCGGAGGCCACTGCCGTATTTCTCATCTTTTCTTTTATATATCTGCCACATTTCATCAGTAGTTACCTAATGTTTGGTGCACGATTGTTGAACAAAAGTAAGAGACAAGACAGCTTTGTTTAATCTGTCTCAACTGAAAATAAAACGTACTGCACATTAGCAACCCCAGTTATTGTGTCCTGTGAGGCTAAATATTTCCCGGGCTACAAAAACAAAACATCATGATGGTGCCACTACTACAGATTCAGATTGGAGGCTGTGTCGCATCAGGAAACCATGTAGCTGCAATGCTGAAAGTTGAACACTGTTATATTCTTCATCTGGATTGTGATTAACCTGCACTTCCTTGGGTCTTTTCTTCATTTTCTTCCATCGCAATGTCCCCACCAATCCCCACGCCTCGTCTAATGTGGGCATTGAGGTGCAGGGCAGCTCCATCAACCAGAACAGACATATTGTTGGCATGCAGAAATTGGCCGGCAAGGCACTTGAGTTAAATTATTCTGCTGAAAATTGCATCCAAGCAACCAGTTACCAAATGAATACTGTGATGACAATTATGACTTGATATATTGTGAAGCTCTATTTTAAATCAAAGCAAATGCGTGTTGGAATGGTCCAGTCAAAAACCCTTTTATCCCATGGGAATCTGTGGCGAGACCTGGAAATGTATGCTTCAATCCCATCTTACAGGATAGGAGTTTAGTCTGCAGTTGGCCAAAATTGGCAGAGATATGCAAAAAGATCTGCTGCCTATCTGCCTCAAAAGCTTGTCCTATAAAGTATTAACTCCGGGAGGCTGAGTACAAAACCATGTTTCTTTTTGTTCCCACTTCGTGACTGTATACTACTTTGTGTTGGTCTATTACATAATATCTCAATAGAGTTCCACAGAAAACTACAATTGTAATAAAAAGAAAGCAAAGTAAAACAACAAAAAAGTTCTAATATCTACATAAGGCACTTTGTGTAAATGAAGAATTACTTGAATCTGTTTTCACAAAGAGACAAACATAAAACTACTCGCAACACAGGATACGCCATTGAGCTGCGCTTCCACTCAGACCTCTGCATGCTGTTTTGATGCAGCTCAATGGAGAAGAGCAATAGATAAAAGAAGTATTTCTAGATGGGTAGTCTTCGGATGAAAAAAAAAATGCATCAGCCCTGTCGTGGCTGTCCTTCTTTTTTTTTTTTTTTTTTTTTTTTTTCTTTGTGAGCCGAGGTAGTTTGGTGGTTAGTCATCCAGCGACTAGCAGGCTGTGCAGACAGAGAGCAGTCATTTCGGTAGAGAGCTTTGTTGTTTGTTTTCTCTTTGTTTGTGGCTGGAAATTAGGTTGATGAGAGCAGAGTGTGCATTTTACAACATACTTGAGGCAATTAGATTAGAGGAGTTCTAGCACCGCTGGAGGTGCTAAAAATGTTTGAAAGATTATGAAGAAAAAAATAAATAAATATGCAACTCATGGATCCAAATAACTCAGTAAAAAGAGGTTTCATTTTGTAGTAGTCAATGTAAATTTTTAATTTTAGTCTGGATAGTAAGATGAAATGATGAATTCATGTTTTTGACAGGAGTCTAGTCATCGCATTTGAATCTTTTAGAGCCTATTTTAATGTTAGTTCAATTATGAAAGAGTTGGTATTTTACTGCAAAAAAAAAAAAGGGGGAAAAATATCTAAATCACATTTTCTCACAATAGAAATACGTGGACTCGAAAAAGCTTGGCTCAGTTCAGTGGCGTTACTGCAGGTGCACATAAAGCCTAAAACCCTAAATAAGCTTTAATCAGCATTAAAGTCAAAGTAATAGAAATCTACACATGACAGGTACTTAAATATATGACGAGCACAAAGTGGTGCTAAAGCAATATTTAGTTACAAAGCAATGAAACATTAGTAGGCAAGACGTCATGAGGCCCAATCAAATTTCATTTTGAGGACTTCCGCATTCTACAGGTATGGATTAAAGAAGCATTCAGTTCAAACAGGAGCTGCCGCATTTAGCTGGAAGCCCAACATGACTGACAGCTGTGGAACTCATGAAATCAGGACTGCAGCTGGAGAGAACAGGACTGAGGACAGGAGGGGAGGAGAGGGGCTGCGATGAGCTAAGATAAGTGTGAATTAGAGGTGGAGGATGTTGGTAATAGAGGTCCCAGTAGGTTGGCCAGTGACCTGGAGAGGGTGAAATTGTTTGCGGTTTTTATGTCAAACCCCCTCTAGAATAGGTTTTCCATCAGGTGTACATTTATATAAGTCGACATTTCTACCTCAGAGTGGCCTTTTGCGCCTTTAGCTGATAATCTTCCTGACACCAGCCTTCCCCTGACTCACACTGCTCGGTTCCACATGATTTTTTCTTTTTTTTTTTTCTTTTTTTCTTTTTGCAGAGTCCATTTCCTCCGTTTTATTGTGCAGCTTCTTGTGGGTGGACATACCACGCTGCCTGTCCAAGGCAGCTTATTTATTTATTTATTTTTGTTTTTTATTGCTGCTTATTGTTTGTGAGGATTTCAAAGTCTGTCTGTGTTTGCTACCATTTCACATAATTAGCAAAGTCCAGTTGCTGTTTTAATTTGCAAAGTGTTTGACAATTTATCACAAATGATAAATTGGTACAAAATCTCAACTTAAAGAAGACAACATGTTATTTACAAGCTTTTTCCAGTTTTAGTTGCTGGAAATTCATGTAACTCATGATGAATAAAATTTTGGTTTGACATTTTCTTTTTGTTACTATAAAGAGAAGCAAATACAATTTTGAACATCTTGGTTGATTAAAGAAATACTTCTTCATTGTAGATTTAACTATTTTTTGTAAAGGATGACTTACCATCATAAATGAATATTCCCATATAGCAATGTGAGGCTGCCTATGACGGCACACGGGGCCATATAAAACCTTTCTATGCAGAACTCTTTAGGGTTTTTGTAGTTCACAGCTCTGTCTTCTAGTAAATTTTGGCCCACAGAATAGCTTCACAATACAAAGCTATTGTGTTCAGCACTTGACAATCTCAATTTTCCATTTTTCTGAGATGTGTGGTCTATGCTAGTTTGCAAACCTCTATTTCCACGTTATTACAGTCACAAACAATGTCAGCATCTGGCAAAATTATGTTTTGTGTTGCCAAACCAGCAGATGGAAACATTAATTCTCATTTTCTTTTTCTTCTCTGTTTTGCAACATTTTAAAGGGGCGGTATAATGAAAAGCCAACTTTTTAGAGCTTTATTTCACGTTACAAAGTTATTCCCTCATCAAAAACATAGATATAGATTTGCTTAGATTTTTTCATGCATGTTTGATAAATCCTTGTGCCTTTCGGTACATTTGTATTTTTCTCCTCAAATGCAATACTTGCAGAACCACCTTTTGTTGCAGCTACAGCTGCAAGTCTTCTGGAGTACTGTATGTGTCTACCAGCTTTGAACACCTGAGGACTAAGATTTCCTTTCCCACTCATCTTTGCAAAATAGCTCAGCCCAGTTAGACAGATTTTCAGGTGGATTTAGGTCCGGACTCTGACACATGAATATACTTTGATCTCTGGTTGTACTGCTATGGCCTCTGGTTTGCTTAAAGGTGAACCTCCATTCCAGACTCTGGTATTTTTTGGGCTGAGTAAAGTAAATTTGTTATTTGTTTAAGACCACCAGGGTCTACTTGCACAGTTGTTCATGTGTAGCTCTGAGGTCTGTGACCACGCTACGTATATAATGAGCAGTAATAAAAACCACAGTGAAAGGGTGGCACCAAACACAGAGCAGGTACAAATTTTGCGACCCAAACCACAAAAAGCACTGACTGCCTGTTCTTAGAGACCATGATGAGGAGAGAGTGTAGGAATGTTCAAACTTGACCTTTCTCATACAATCTGAACGAAAAACATTGAAATTTGTGGCTTAAAAATGATAAGAATACTTTTTCTAGACACATTACTGATACCTCTGCAAAATATTATTTTTGAAGTGTAGATTTTGTTCAATCCGACAAGATTTCCGTATTTGCACTTTGCTTTCCAGCTCCTCCATTATGTGGAATAGTTCTTGTGCTAGCCAATAAGCCTGAGGCTGTTCCTAGTTGCTGTCTAAGGATTTGAAAGGCAACTCAACATCCATTCGTGTGTGTGTGTGTGTCTGTGAGAGAAAATCAGATAAAACAACTAAAGAAAAATAAATCATTTCTTTAGAACTGCTACAGTAATTATCGCTCTTTTCCCATGTAAGACTCACTATGGTCCCATTTCTCTTTACCTGAATAGATGGAGCTGAATTTAATTGCTTCAAAGATGTAGCTATAAAACCTGCTGTAATTAAAGGGCCCACTGTTATTTCTGTTCCGAAACCTGACATAGAGAAGGCTATTTCATAAAGACTCGTAAATACAGTGCTTGCATTCAGAGCTGAATCAAATGTTACATAGCATGGAGCATGGTCAAAGCCCAGTCCCCACTGTGCTGTCATTTCAAGACTGAGGCTCTCTCTGAGTGTGTAAATCTTACCAAACCATGAGGATACAAACTTAAGGGGACTGCATACGATAATTCAGGAGGAAGAAATCCCCTGAAATCCTCCTGTTTTACTTGGGACGTTAAGTTTTCACTTTAAAGGACGCAGTGACTCACACATCTGTGTAAAGGGACCAAAACAACAGGAAAGTCATTAAAAATTAAGAGATTTGAACTGAACTATTTGAATTCTTTTCAATATGAATGTTAAAGACATAACCTAACTTTAATATGATATAAAAGAATAAGATGAGGAAAAACATAGTCAAATTAATTCATTACAACTGATCTCAGTAGAAAACACTGCACTGTTAAAATGTTTTTTTTTTTTTTAATGTTTTTGTACAACGGAATGAAACCAAGATCGTTCACTTCAAAACAGTTTCCACTTTTAATGCGAGATCCGTTCTGTG